AATTTAATATTTCAAGTTAGAAATAATTGTAGTCAAGTTGTTTGTAAATGATTTACTTTCTAATAATTTATTAAATTTATTATAAAATAATTAATTTAATTTTATAATTATTATAACCATTCAATAGAAGTTTATCTTTAACAATTTTACGTTATATACAAAAAAAGTGTTTTTATTGCAGACTGTTATGTATCTTTTAATTTGAGAAATAAATATACCTTTTAACATTGTATGTGGCACCACACTATTTGGAGAGGGCAATCCTAGGATAGAAAATTTAAATTCTCCTCTTTTATCACATATGTCCAACTGCACTTTATTTTCTGACAAGTTAATGTCTAGATCTAAAAAGTGTGCTATGAAACTATTGCTAGTACTACGTTCTAATTCGAGTTTAGGATAAATTTCAGATGGTTCAAACTCTGGATTATTAATCAATATTAACTCGTCAATATAACGGAAAGTAAATATATATTTGTTAGGATTTGTTATTTTGTTCATAAATCTATTTTCATAGAAATAAAGAAACAAGTTAGCCATATTTGAAGAGAAATTAGCCCTCATTGAGATGCCTACTGTATGTTTAAATATTTTATCATTAAAGGTTATATAATTATTAAATATTCAGAAGGATTCTACACTGTAAACTTGAAAATTTATATTTAGAAATAGCTATATTTTCAACTATAAATTCATCTGTTATAATATTAAAGACCTTTATTAAATCTTTTAAATTTAATTTGGTATACAATGTAGTAAAATCTTATGTCAGAATAGAGAAGGCTGAACTCAAAGAATTTACAAATTCTAAGCATTCCAATACCCGTGTATTGTTTTTTATTATCCAGAAAACATGTTTCGAAATACTTAGAGATTTAGTTTTATTTCAGAAAATAGTAAATCAAAAATATAATTTAATATGATAGCCACTAGTTTGGTAATGGGATTTACTGAATTTATAATAAATCGAAACTTAATTAGAGTTTTATGTAATTTTGGAATTGCGTGCAAGAAAAGTAAATTTAAATATTTAGAATCAATAGGTATATTCCATTTTTTGAATAATTTTATGTAAGTTATTAATAAGTGTATTTTTATCTGAGGTAAACTCAGTAAAAGTTTTTGCTATATTAATTTCATTTATTATAACCTGTGCATAAAATCTTTTACATATAAATCCAAAGTTGCTGTCAGCTTTATCGATTGCAATAACTTTGAATAATAGTTTTTGAATTTCTTTGATTTTTCTTTTAAAAGTAGGAAAAGAAATATCTATAGTAAAATTAGATACATTTAAATACCTTAACTTCTTTCTTATGTTATTTATAATAAAAATTTCACATTCAAAGAAAAATCGTGGGAGGTATAGAAAATTTTACTAATTTTTATAATATATTCATCAATATTTTTTATATATTTTGTATTATTTGATTCTTTGTAGTTTTATTTAACAATCTAAATTTAGTTCCTTTCTTTAGAATGTTTATAAGATCAATATCTTTGATCACATTCAAATCACCAGTAATAATATACTTATGAAAAGAATAAGTAAACATATTATTATTATTACATTTGCAAGATAAATTATCAGTGTCTGGATTAAGATTTCCAATGAATTGTTTATAGTTAACAATAAAAGGTCCTATCGGTTTACTGTATCTAAAGCTAACAGATGGTTATAATATTTTTTTATAGGAAATACTTTTTCTTGAACACTTTTATGTATGATTGAAGGCAGAAAAAGATCATCATACACTTTATGTTTAAAATCTATAAGAATATATGATTTTTCTAGGTTATCCTTTATAGAGTTTTTATCATCAGGAAATATATCCCAATTTAATCTAAATTTAGTTAAATCCAAAACGAGATCTTTAATATGCACATTTTTAATTCAAACTTCCAATGGTATTCCCTCTAGTCTATCAGTTCTAAATTAGGGACGGCTAGTGCGTTTTGCCATCAAGTAACTTTGCGCGAAATTCCAAAACAAACAACCAAAACCAAAATCTCGATCCTCCAACGAAGTGTATAGTAATAAAGGATTAAGCATGTTATATACTAAATGTACTTCCGCAGGGTCCCCGAATGTGTTCTGTTTCAAGAGTAAATAAAACCAAAATTAAGAGTAACAAATATTTTTATTTCTTGCTTTTTACATTCTTATGTCATGCTGTTTTGTAGCCGACAGAGGGCATAATTCTTCTCGTGTTTCATGGCATGCGCACGTTTTACTGACGTCACTACAGTACAAATTGCAATGTTAAGCGTCCGTTATGTGACGTAATTTTAGTGTATACTGACTGACAGACAACACACTACTGTATAGTGGCGTGAGTGGTTAAAACAAGTGACCCATACAGACGGCCTCTGGCCCCCTTTCAGGGAAGGCGATTTTCATTATGCAAATCGGCAGGTCATGTGACAATTACAGCTGATTTAAAGTCACGGTGGAACGGCATATATTAAAACTACATTTCGGCATTGTTTTGTAGCTCATAAGTAATGCGATGCTAACAAGAATTCGTCATTTTTGGGAAAGGTATGTAACAGTCCTTTCTGATGCAAAATAAAAATAAAAAATCATACACTTTGATCATAAAGATATGTTCAGATAAAAAAGTTGTAGGGATATCCCTTGTATTTGATGGCATAAGAACACAAAAGAATATGAATCAACTTGGATCACCAGGACTAGCCAGAAAGAATCGTAAGAATCCACAAACACAAAGATCAGTTACACAACGCGTCCACTTTCCCCAGGCAAAAGTAAGCAACATAATTAAAAGGATATCTGTCTGGAAAAACGACGCAAGTTGTTTGCACGATATATCTATCATTCAACCGTCACATACCTCAAGCAACTGGAGAATAAAACGAGTATTTGTGCTAATCCATACAAACACATAAGATCAATCGCAGGACTCAGCGTTTATGGATTTATCTGCTGGAACAGACTGTTGAAACGGGCGCTTAAAAACTGTCGTCGTAGTATAGTAGATGGAATATGAAAAATTCATGGAGCAGTGGTTGTTTTTAATACGTCAAGCCTTACAGTGGAGCGTTTTGCAGCAGAAGTCACGCTGCAGAGCTGTTGTAAAGATGCACGATTATTGATTAGAACAGTGGTTCCCAACCTGGAGTGCGATATACAATTGTCGGGGGTGCGAGGACAGGGTCCAGAAAAACAACTTTTTTTTGTTCATCTGCCATTGCCGTTTTTACTAAATACTTCGTCTTAATTCGGGAGCAGAATATTAATTACGATCTTCAATTAATTCACTATTGTGATTCTTTCTTCCTGTTTTAATTTTTTTTATCAAACATACGCCTACTATTTACGTCTCATGATGTTTTTTTTTGTTTTCAGAGATCCATAATGGCGAAGAAAAGAAAGTGGAACGATGATTACTATCGTTTTGGTTCACATGTACAACTGAGAGAAGTGATATTTTCTAATGCAAATTTGAAACCTTCCAAACTCAACGAACATTTCAACTGAGTACATGGTGGTAGAGAAGCTGGGGGCCCGGCATGGTCAGGTGGTTAGGGCGCTCGACTCGCTGTCTGCGGGTCGCGGGTTCGAATCCCCGTCACACCAAACATGCTCGCCCTTTCAGCCGTGGGGGCGTTATAATGTGACGGTCAATCCCACTATTCGTTGGTAAAAGAGTAGCCCAAGAGTTGGCGGTG